CGATTAGAGTTTATCTTATTCGTGTTCTGATATGTTCTATGAGTTACCCGTCTATGCCACGAGGGGTTGTGATTCGTTGGTCATATGCACACATGGTGAGGTTCTATTGGGGCCTTATAGCGGAATTTGAGCGAGATGGGTATTTGGGTGTTGCATGATTGACTGCGCATTGGCTATTTTCTTTCGGGTTTGTGTGGCATGGCGTCATTGCTTCTCCGTGGTTATGGTCATGCGCCTTGGGTACTTGATGTCGAATTGCGCGTGGTTATTAATTTTGAGCAAGGTGGCTTGAGGTATTTCATATGGACCAGTGATTGGATGGAGTCACACATTGCAGCGGAATTATGTTGAGATATGATCTTTTGTGTTAGGTTTGTGTGTTGTGGTTGTACAGTGTGTGATGGGTTTTTGCATTGCGTTGTGATGGTGGTTGTTGAGCTTGCGGAACGGTTCTCTCATTTTGGTCATTTTCATTTTTGCTTGAGTGCATTGAATTATTATGTATTGGTGCATGGATTGCGTGGTTTGTGGCCCGGGGTATATTGGTGTGGCATGTCAGTAGATTAACTAGTATTTGACAAGAAAAGGTCATCGGATCTACAATTGGTATTATCGGATTGATTGTGATATATTTGAAAAGATAATATCGCTGATTGGCTTAGAAATTTGCTATAGTTTTTGTCGAAGGAGAGGGAGCCCCATGACCTGTTGATTTGATGAATAGTTATGAGTGTCTGCGTGTTCTTTCGTCATCTGAAGGGTACAAAGGTTTTAGAACGAGGTTTTGTTTGATATAAGGTTTATTACAGGTATTGGGTTATTTTGAGCAACTAATGTGATCGGAAATTTGCTACGAGTATGTGAGTCGTGTGGTATGTCCTGTGAATGCATCTTGGGTTGTGGTTATGGCTTGATATATCTTGTTCAGACTTAGACAATGCGTAGATGTAAAGTTTTGGTCTTGTAGCAAATTCCAAATGTTGGAAATTGGATACGGTGGTTTACGCACTAAGGATGAAGTAATGATATTCAGTTGTGTGGTATTATCGGGCCTAGCTGAAATTGGGTGACGTGGGATCACCCCCGGGTATGTGCATGGTAAGGTTACACGGCGGTTTGATGACTTGGGAACAACTCTGGGCACGTTCGAGGACGAAGATATGTTTAAGTGAGGGAGGATGTAACGACCCGATCGGTCGTTTGGAGCATTTACACTTCGCTCGGTGGTTTGAGGGCATGAGTAGCTCCGTATGATGTATTATGACCTGTGTGAGTTGTCGGTTTTGGTTTTAGGTTATTCGGAGTCGATTCGGAAGAATGAAATTTATTGTTGAAGCTTTAGTTTGGAAGAGTTGACCAAGTTTGACTTTTGTGAATTTGACCCCGGAACAAAGCTTTATGGTCCGTTAGGTCTGGATGGTGATTTTTGGACTCGAGTGTATGCCCGTATTTGCAATTGGATATTTCTAAGGATTCAACACTAATTGGCGAAAGTTAGAAATTTTAAGGTTTGGAAAGTTCATAAGTTTGACTGATAGTTTACTTTGAGGATATCGGATTCGGATTGTGGTTCCGGGAATTGGAATAGATTAGTTATGTCATTTGGGACTTGTGTGCAAAATTTGGGTTAATTCCGGGTTGATTTGATATGTTTTGGCACGAGTTTTGGTAGTTGAAAGTTCAAAGTTCATTCAAGTACTAAATGAGGTGCGATTCGTCATTTCGATGTTGTTATGTGTCATTTGAGGCCTCGAGTAGGTCCGTATTATGTTATGGAACTGGTTGGTATATTCGGACGTGGTCCTGAGGGGCTCTGGTGAGTTTCGGACGGGGTTCGGATCGTTTGGAGTCTTGTTGAAGTTGCTGAAGTTTTTGGTTACTGCTGTCTTCGCACCTGCGCATGATGGATCGCAGGTGCGTGCTCGCGGAAGCGTGAAGATGGTCGCAGAAGCGACCTAGGGAAAAGCCGGCTAGGGAGGCTTCCCAGAAGCGGTTCTTCAGCTGCTGAAGCGCGATCACATATGCGACCCTAGTCATCGCAGAAGCGGCCACTGGGGGCCAAGGCTGTCTCGCAGGTGCGTGACTTTGTCCCGCAGAAGCGAAGGTCGCAGGTGCGACCTACTGTCCGCAAATGCGGAAAATGCTGGGCAGAAGCTACAAATCGAGGTTTTTGATTCTTTTATCATATTTTGATATTAGGGGCTCAGATTGAGACGATTTTTTGTGCAATTTTCATCACAAGGATTGCGGTAAGTGCTCTACACTCGGTTTTTATTATATTTCACAAATCTATCTTCATTTTTGATAATTGGATTGTGAATTTTAAAGAGAAATAGAGGGTTTAAGCCTAAAGTTTCATAGAGTGAGTTTTTGAGTTTTGAACATCGATTCGGAGTCAGATTTGGGTGAAACTAGTATGGTTGGACTCGTAATTGAATGGGTAATCAGATTTTGTAAGTTTTGTCGGCTTCCAAGGTGCGGGCCCGGGTTTGACTTTTTGGGCGATTTTGGGCTTTTGATTAAGGATTCGTCCTTTATCATTTGAAAGTATTTCATTGGGCTTTATTTGATGTATTTGAGTTGCTTTTGGCTAGTTTTGGGTCGTTCGGAGGTCAGTACGCGCGGGATGGAATTTTGGAGCATCATTTTGCTTGCTCGGTATTGGATTTGGCTTGTTCGAGGTAAGTAACACTTCTAAACTTGGTGCTGAGGGTATGAAACCGTGAATTACGTATTATGTGTTTGGTGTTGAGGTGACGCACATGCTAGGTTACAGGCACTCCGTTATTTTTGTGGAACTATAGTTACCTGATCTTTTCGGTAACCATGAAATCTCTACGTACTAGAGCTATTGAACTGTGATCCATATTAGAAACCATATCTAGGCTACATGCTAGACCCGCTGAGGTTATTTCTGCTGTTGAGTTATTTGCTTACATTGCAATTTCATACTCAGTCATGTTCATTCATTTCATATCATACCTCAGTCTCTGTTGCTATTTATTGACACATCATATCATTATTTTGGGCTAGTTTCATGGCATTGTGAGCCTGAGAGACTTGGTGTCAGTTGATATATATATATATATATATATATATATATATATATATATATATATATATATATATATATTTGGGATGGATTTTCCCCGGGCTGGATTGGCCATATACAGTACTGAGTGACTGAGCGTGTCGAGTGATTGAGCATGATGAGTAGAAAGTGTGAGACAATGAGATTGAGTACTCTGAGAGTGTGGGTACATGAGGTCATCTCTGAGATATACTGCATTTGACATGCACACTTGGCATACATGCATAGAGATGCATTTTCCTTCATGTTGTATGGTGTCACGTCATTCATGACTTCTCATACATACTGACATATAGGCATCGAGATGTATTTTCCTCGTGCCATTTGAAAATGAATATTTACGTGTTAAAAGTTTTGGAAAAAATTACAGTTTTCAAACTTACTCATATTTTTGGCAATTTCGGTAAAAAATTGGGTTTGTACTGATATACTTGAAAAGTAGACCTATTTTCTGGAACTGTAAATGAGCTGAGCATTTTATCTCTGAGTTACTTATTTTATTACTTTCATTATGTTGTTATCGAACTGTTGTTGGTTATTGGTGTTGGACTCTGACCCTTGTCCCAGCTCGTCACTACTTTCAACCTAAGGTTAGATTTGTTACTTATTGAGTACATGGGGTCTGTTGTACTCATACTACAATTCAGCACCTTGTGCGCAGATGTTGGATGCTGATGTTGTTGTGATCGACAGGAGCTGGATTTGAAGACGTACTTGCGTTCCGGTCGTAGCTGCCTCTTCTTCATGGTAGCCTTAGATTTATAAAAATCTGTTTATGTACATTTCGAACAGATGATGTACTTATTTCATACCAGCTTTGTAAATTCTAATCTTAGCAGCTCATGATTTGTACTACCAGTCCTTGAAAAACGTATAAGATTCAGATATTTTCTTTTACTTAATTGTCTTATTAAGTTTCATTAAAATTGGATAGTCGTTAATTTGCTTACTTAGCGGGTTGGGGTAGGTGTCATCACGACTACTGGGATTTTGGGTCGTGACATCAGGTATTGATTCATCGCCTTCAGTGATGAACTGTGATTCAAGCTTCCTATTTCTAAGAGAAAAGATATAATTAGTTTTTGATCTGTTATTACGAGAAAGCTCTTCTTATGGTAATATTTTTCTTTAACTTTTGCAAGTTTCCAGAATCTAATCCTATGGACCAAACTAAAGAGACGACGAAAGGAGAGAGAGTGAAACTCCAGTATTGTATAACGGATGATAACTAAATGAGGCTATATGGTAATTAAAGAGAGTGAGGCTATATTGTACAGTTATCACCCAAGACTGACAGGAAAAACAAGATTGTGTAAACTATTGCAATGCTGTTAGAACTATAAACACAACCCTGATTAATCTAAAGCTTTGAAGCTGCCAAAAGTCCTGTACTTTTATACAACCAAACCCAAACAAAAATTATGCTCTTAGCTGTGCCAAATTCAAAAGACAGCACAAAGTGCTCACTGAATCTCTAAATCCATTCAAAAAGAAGGCATCTTAGGCAATATATTAAGCACCAACTCAATACTAATGGCATGAACTCCCATCTTTTACCATCCCAATGTGGCACCACTGGAGACAAGCTAAGAAAACCAAGTGGAAAACGCCCACATTACCATGTTAGGTAACAGGTTGAGCACCACCACAATAATAATGGCCAATTAAGATGTCAAACTTTTGTGTGCAGCCATAATCAAAGGAAAAACACTAAAATGCTTTTTTCCTTTTTGGTTTATAAGGTAGAAAAGTCTTATTGTAAAGTCTGGTTATTGAGATGATCACGAGAGATGGCATGGTACGAAAAACGCTTTCAAGAAATGTGATAAGCAGAAAGAGCGGAGATTCTAAAATTTGTCGAAGCAATGATCACTTCATATAGCATACATACGACTCATAGGAAATACAATAGAATCAAAAAACATAGATTGAGAAACCTTTTCTGGGTAAATAATGAGAATATTCTAGTCTAATTTTATCCTGAAAAACTAACTTTGGCAACCATTTCAAGATTGTCCTTGTATAAAACACAAGGAAAAGGAGGAGTGACAAAGCAAATACTTGACCAATTTACAAAAGGCCCCAAAACTTAAAGATGTCAACACCATTGAAGTATCATTCAATGATTCCCAGATCCAAAAGGGGTACAATACGAAAAGGAAAAAGGAAGGGAGTGCCATATATTCAAGAACCAGATTTCAAGATCCATTAGATCAGTAGGTGGACTAGAGTAAGTAATAGCTATGCAATTTCCCCTACAAAGTTGCATATAATTCCCCTCAGGTACCTTCGGAAAGTATGTGGAAAATGCGTCCTTCCAAAATTCCTTTCCTCACCAGTTTGATGCAGTTCTCTACACCATTTGCATATCCAGGTGGAGAGCTACATGAACTTCTACAGCAAACAAACACTTCTCTTTCTGCCTTCGATCAAAATAGCAGCATAACTAAGCTAGTACAAGGCACTATTACTTCTGTAAACACTTTGACAAAATAGATATTACTTCTTCAATCAACGTCTGGCATGCCCAACAGTGGATAACTGGGGTCAGCAGATCCAAGCATGGGAATGTACTCCGATCCTCTTACATGAACGCTAAAACAAGCTGCAGAACATTCAGTTGCATAAGAAATATGCCTCAACTCTCTTTCCAGATTCAGTTAGTAGTGACCAGTTATCCACTTTGTCCAAAACAAAAAACAGCCATTGACTGCAGAAATACAACATTAAAACAATGGGTTTTAACGTGAAGATTCTTTTTCAGGATTCAGATTTCGAATATCCAACTACCTGGTGCGACAAAAAATCTAACAATGCTAACAAATGTAATTAAAATAGCATTAGATGAGAACTATAACTAGAGTAGCACCTATAATATTCTTATAGTTAGTGTACATGGAACACCCAGTTGACCACACACAAGCACAATCTATATGATTCAGTAGCCAGTGCACATTCACATTTTGTATAATCTTTTTTTTCTCTATTCATCAAACTAAAAGCTTTAGAATATGTCCACTTTGAAAAGAACAAACCTCTAAGACAGTAAACAAAAGCATTTTTGCCCAACATTATCCCCAATCCCAATCTTCTCACCTCATGAGTTGCTAAAAACAGAATTTGTTTACACTGTACTAAAGAAGTTTTTGACTAGTTAGGTTAGAAGGCACAAAGAGAAAGAAATTAGTCATAGACAACAGCTGAAGACTATACCATTTTCTATCTTCATTACACTCTGGAGCATCGTTTCCATTTTCTGTTTCATGTCTGAAGGATCATCCATTTCCGGGGCAATAAGAGTAAGCTTCCTGTAAATTTCACGCACAAAACTGCAGATCTTCTCAGCAAAATCAAGTTCCCCTTCTGATATTCGACCAATTGCCAACCTCATCAATTCTCCTGTCAAGTCCGCAAGCTAAAGTAGAAGATTTAGAAATATGGAAATATTTCTTACTGGGGACGAAGTAAACAACTCAGTTTTGCTTAATTTGAGAAAATGCAAACAGGAAGATGATACACTTACCCCTAAGATATAGTCTAGGATGTTAATCTGCAAGGGTTCAACAGAAGGATCACTTAGTGGGAGAAAGGCTGCATTAATCTCATCAAGAGTTAATAGTGTCCCTGTCTTGCAGAAATTACAAAATGTTGCAGCTTCAACATATTCTTGAACCTATAAGTTGGAAGCACATACAAGCTAAGTCAAATTGGATTATGTACGAGTCTCCAAAAGCAAAAAGACCAACTAACCCACCCCAGGAGAATATGCTCGTCTTAACTTCCAGAAATCAGTCCCTTGGAGTTCCTTTACTAGACGGGACACATATTGATCAGTCACAGCTGCCATATCTTTAACTGCTTTATCCAGAACTTCCTCTTTGTTGTGCTTGCTTATTCTGTTAATGAAGGAAGGGAAGAAAAAGAAATTGACTGGGGAACTTTTCTCCTTACATAAGTCATAAAAAGCTAATTAAGTCAAGCAGATAAATAGCTATCCAACATTTGACACTTGTTGGCTGCATAGACTAAAATAATGCTCATAGAGATTGCACCTGTGCACTTGAAAAATAACCTTCTTGCTATTCATAGTAATATCACGACTTGCTTTCACCACCCTTTCTCGTTTATCATTCTGCAACATAAAGAGTAAAAATTCATATTTGATGATTCCATGTGAATTTTGATGGCTTTTGAACTCAAGGATGACCTTTCTCCATCATCATCATCAACAACAACAACAACAAACCCAATGTAATCCCACAAGTGGGGTCTGGGGAGGGTCGTGTATATGCAGACATTTCTCCATCGTCAATTTAATTAGATCTATAATCAGTTCACATAAAAACTTCATACCGGAACTAGCTAGACAAAATTATCAAGTGTTCTATGCATCAACCCTCACTCTAGATCTTTTTTTTTTAATAACGGTGGTGCCCGATCAGCTTGCACGCACCTCAATTACTCTACCGAATACTTGCTACCTCCCACCAACACAAGTATCGGGCGATTTTGGAAGCAAGGCTTAGGCAGATGGAAAAATATCACCGAGTATTTTTGTCCTGGCCTCCAAGGTTTAGACTCAATTGATTATTAGGTCACACCTTTGAGTGCTCTCACTCTATATCTTTCTCTTTTCAAACTAGACCTTGAATTGAAACTGGACTTATCTCTTTCAAGCATCGATACTTTCAGACATATGTTCTCAAGTCTGGACATAGTGAGAACCATCTGGATATGTATAACTACAAAAGCAGGGTAGGTACGTGGAATATATAGGATACATCCTTTCAAAAGTAAATTTCTCTTTTCTTAATTATTAAAATAATAATAATAAACTTTCTTTTTCTTGTTTTTGATTGGTTAACAGAACCATCTAATCCATAAAGTTCAAAATTGCACAATAGTATATGATGTTAGGACTCCCAAAATAAAGCGGCACAACCAAATCGCTTGGCTAACTTGGGTATAAAATATAAAGTTGCAAAAGCAAAGATAATAAGTTCGAAGTCCGCCATCCAAGCCATAGGATCGTAAGTTTACAACAGAAATTCCATTTCAAATATCCTTTTATTAGCTGAGTACCAATACAATTTTTGCATTAAAATGTAAGGAATCTTAATATAATGTTCTTCTTCTCAATGTCTCAAAAAACAATCAGCTTAACCTCAATGCAAATTTGCTGGAGTCAGGCTCTACGAATCTTTGTCTATTTCACTCTATTTCATTCCAAAACACAACTTTAAAGGCTACGAATTCTTTTAGTCCTAGTCTACTAACATTTCCCATCTCATGCCCTCCCTTTAATGTGCAGAAACTTATAAAAATAAATAGGGCGCCTTTTTCTGCTCGAAAAAACCAACTCAGACAATCCAATTTCAAGATAAACCGAAATAAACAGCTTTTAATTAATAATAAAGCTAATGCGAAAATATGAACATAGACAAAGGGAGCAAAAAAGAGAGAAAGGGGAGAAGCTTAACAAGGTTATTGAGATAATCAGCATATTTGGAGAAGGCGTCTTTCATTGATGATGACTCAGTCTCAGTTTCAGTACTCATTGTCCTTGCTTTCTTCATCGCGCTTTGCCAAGTTGCTCCTGCCACTATTCAACAAAATGAACGAAAAATTCAAACTCTTTTAACAAACCCAGAGAAAAGGGGAAGAGTGAATTAGGGTTTGTGTTGGAGACGACTTACAGTGACGAATGCGCTGAGGTTTAGGAGCCATAACTATGAGTGACAACTTGTAGGCGTGGAGCAACATGTGTCCCTTCAGCACACAAAAAAACTGTTAACATCTTCTAATTAATTAGCTTCTTTTCTTTTCTTTTGTTATAAAATAATAAAAGAAGAAAGAACAATATTGCAGAGAAAGAGAGAGGGGAAATTCTTATTGAATTTTGGGATAATTACAATGGAATAGAACCCTTTATTTATAGGGAGATAGTGACTTAACCGCCAAGTAATAAACCCTAGAATTTCTCTAAATATAGACATTCACCATAAATAGAACTCTATTTTTAACACTCCCCCTTGAATGTCTATTCAACAGATAACGTGCCTCGTTAAAACCTTAACTAAAATAAAACCCAGTAGGAAAAAAATTCTAGAAAAGGAAAAAGAGTACACATATCTAACAATACGCCTTTTGGTTGCCTCGTTAAAAACCTTGCAAGGAAAACCCAGTGGGACAAAACCTTGTAAGGAAAAAAGAGTACAACGCGTATTAACTCCCCCTGATGAGAGCATCAATTCACATGCTTAAGCATTTGCATTCCAATCTTGTGCACCATCTTCAAAAGATCTTTGGTAGAGATTTGATGAACAATATCAGCCATATTAATTTCAACGAATTTGTTTCGCCTTGAAATCATCATCCCTGATAGATGTATTGTCTTCATATGATCTTGTTGGAATTGTCAGTTCAATATCTTCACATAGAGGTGAAAACTCTTGGTATCATATTATCATGCCTATAGTTATAGCAAGATACATTTGTGCACAAATTGCATTGAGGATGTAGTACTTCATGACCATGAATTCTATATGCTTTAAGCAATTTAAATCCTTCATGGATTGTCATATATGTTAAGTCATATAAGCCATATAATAGACTTTAGATGCATATCAAGTTTTCATGTCATGCTAGACATATATGATATCGAAAACCGATTGCACATATCATTGACTTTATACTTTCAAGTGTTTGAACTGCATGTCCAAAACTACATGTCTTTCATATGAAACCAAATTCTACTTGAATTGTTTCTCTAGACTTAAGATGCTTATATATTTTTAGCGCTATCATAGATGTTGTCGACAAACATTTTATATCGGTTCCAACCTCCTTATTTTTTATAAAGACATAACATAGAGATCTCTTCATTCACATATTCAGATACCTGAATCTCTCATGAGATTTTATGAAGTGTTATGTCATGTGATCTTCTAGATCACTTGCCTCCTTTATTATGATCATTTGTTCATCTTCTTTATCAAGAAGTTTATTTGAAACCGATTTGTCTATATGCTTTAAGCGTACCATAGACGTTGTCCTTCTAGGACTTAATAAGAGCATTTGCAATGAGAATATAGTTACTTTCTTTGGGTCAGCAAATGCGTCTGGCATGCTTTGCAATATATTGCAAATGAATTATCCTTTTATGAACTTCAAGTTCGTATTATCTTATTCGAGGATCTAGATGCACAAATGATAATTCATTCCACGTAACTTTTTCTCAACTGTTTATCATGTCTCCCCCTCATGTTAGAAAAACTAACTTGTTTCCTCAACTTTGAGAATCCACCTTTGTGCGTTATGGTGTTAATCAAAATATACACCGCACATCAATAATAATAAGATGAAATTATTTGGTTCCTGACCCTGAACCACTTGTGAGGGAAGAAAATAATATACTTGGGTATATAACCTATATCAAACTGATATAGATAACTTTGTTCTCATAAGCAATAGTTTAGCTATTAAGTGGAGGCACTCAATAAATTATTTTGCTAAACCAACTGTGATGTAAACCAACTTATCAAGAAGAACTATCTTGAATAAAAAATCTGGAAATTATGCTCTATATTAAATTATTGAGCAAGTTACCTCGCAAACACCAGGTTGCGCGTCAATAATATTTGCACATGTAACCATCTCATAGATGCATCTTATGTGGTATACATGGCAGGTGAATGGGCCCATATTCACCTTTGATATTTCCAGCATTCATGGGATTCAATCCCAATTTTAGTTGGTATATTAATTAATGAGAACAACCAACATAAGAGAATTCGTAAAGAACTTTCTAGTTCTTTAATATTTACCCATGTGAATTCTCTTTTATTTTTGCACATCATACTTGAATTAACATGGCTAAACTAATTATGCCAACTGGATAAATTATCAATATTGATAAACTTCAGGTTTACACCATGATGTGTGCAATTATGAATAAACTCCAAGTTTATTATGATATGGATTTTTATATCAATAAATATCCACTTCATTGTGGTATTCTTTTGTTTATGTAGTACAAATTGGAGAATAAAGCGGGTAGCTTTTCACATACATATTACCCGCTACAAGTTGTAGTAATAGAAGATATTAAATATTTCCTTTATTTATAGTCTCAATATAATCAACCGCTTTCGCGTATACTTTGGAAACTGAATAAGTTTCTTTTAGACTTACTACAACACAATACCTTATTGGTAATCAATTGTGTTTCTCCAAAATAGTATAATTGGCTCTTCTAGAGCTCTCAATTAATTTGATACTACCACATATTCATCAACGTCCATATGGTGAATATCTCTTTTAAAGAGAAAGTTATACCATTATGGTTATGGTCAAAATTATATGCAAGATCTATTTCTTGCATTACCGTTGTCTTTTAACAATCACAATGCAAAAATATTTCGGCGTACAATAGGTACGTGACCAATGACTTCATACCATAATAATGACGTTATTTTCATATACCATCTCAAACCTCCTTTTAGAGGTGAGTGCGGTATATTCACTACTACTAGCACGTTCATATTCTTTGAAGAATGAATATGTATTCATAAATCACATGTTGTCACATTCACATCATGAATGGACCATAATCATCTATATGTGTTTTATAAAATCTCATGTCAAATCGATGACAAATATTTTTCACAGAGTGAAATATTATTTTGAGAATCCTTATTATTCTCATTATCACAATGATGACGATTATAATTGCATCTATTGCCACGTCCACATCCATTGATACCTTCACGGTAATAGTTTTGTCTTCTTTCAGACTTATCACATATTGCTATCACATTCTCTTAAGGGAATGAGAATGAAGCAAATTCAATGGGACGGATTTCCACTTCTTTGCCCACAACCATACATAAATTTGATCATGGCAAGGCATAGAATTTTACCACTTCAGGTGGTTATAATTTCTTACAAACTCCATTAGAGTTATAATCAAACTTTGTTGTCTTTGCTTGTATTTAAAATCAAATTATAGAATTTCAAGAAGAGAAAAATAAAGTAAAATACTTACCTTAAATCCAGAATTTAATCATGAAGGAAGTTCATGGAACAATTGACAATCATTATGCTCAATCCCAAAGCTTCTACTCAATTGGTTAGAGTCTCGTGCTGATAACGTGTTATAAAATAATAAAAGAAGAAGAACAATATTGCAGAGAAAGAGAGAGGGGAAATTCTTATTGAATTTTGGGATGAATTACAATGGAATAGAACACTCTATTTATAGGGAGATGGTGACTTAACCACCAAGTAATAAACCCTAGAATCTCTCTAAATATAGACATTCACCATAAATAGAACTCTATTTTTAACATCTTTTTTATTTTTCCTTTTTTTTTCTTTTGTTTCATCTACTTTATCTTTTTATTTTTCTTTCTCTTGTTGTTATTTTCTCTTTAAACCAAATCACTCATCCCCACAAGTCATATATCATCAAATGAACATATGCGAAGCATCAAATAGGGGAACAGGATTTTAATGCTCAAAATGATTTATCGGATCGTTACATTATTCACCTCTTAAATAAACGTTCGCCCTCGAACGAGTTTAGAAACATACCTGAGATGCTGAAAAGGTGTGTATATCTGCTCCGCATATCTGACTTGGTCTCCCGAGTAGCATTCTCTCTTGGTTGGCCTCTCCAAAGCACCTTCACCGATGCGATCTCCTTTGACCTCAACTTCTGAACCTACCTATCCAAAAAGGCCACTAACTCTTCTTAATTAGCCAGATTCTCATCTAACTACATTGTGCTGAAGTTCAAACCATGCGACTTGTCTTCATGATACTTCTGGAGCAGAGAAACATGGAATACCAGATGAACTCTCACAACACTAGGAGGCAAAGCAAACCTATAAGCAACCTCACCCACTCTTTATATATTACCTAAAAGTTGACCAATACACCTCGTACTCAGTTTACCTTTCTTCCCAAACCTCACCATTCCCTTCATGGGTAAAATATTCAGAAGTACCTTCTCACTCCATAAATGTTGCATCTCGAACCTTCTTGTCCGCATAACTCTTTTGCTTGGACTAAGTTGTACGAAGTTGCTCCTGAGTTAACTTCCCCTTCTCAAAAACATCACGAACCAAATCAAGTATCTAACAACCTAGCTCACTAGGCTCAAACCAATTAATAGTAAATCCACAATGCCTAGCATACAAGCCTCATATGGAGCCATATGAATGCTGGATTGGTAATTGTTGTTTTATGCAAACTCTGCCAATAGTAGAAATTGGTCCCGATAACCCCCAAGTCAATCACACAAGCTCTCAACATATCCTCAAAAACCTGAATAGTCTGCTCGGACTGACCATCTGTCTATGGGTGAAAAGTTGTTCTAAGCTCCACCTGTCTATCCAACTTATATTGAACAACTTTCCAAAAGTGAGAAGTTAACTGAGTACCCCAGTCTGAAATGACAAAATCAGGCAGACCATGAAAACGAACAATCTCTCTAATGTAGATCTATGCAAGCTTCTATTAAGTATGTGTAGCCAACACTAGTATAAAATGCACGGACTTGGTCAATCTATCAACAATGACCAAATGGCATCAAGCTTCTTCAAAGTTAGTGGAAAGCCTACCACAAAGTCCATAGTAACACGCTTCCACTTCTACTCTAGTATATCCAATCTTTGAGTCAAACCACTTGGTTTCTGATGTTCATACTTCACTTGCTGGAAATTCAAACATCGTGAAACATGCCCAACAATGTCATCCTTCATTTTCTGCCAGAAGTAATGTTGCTTCAAATTACGATACAT